CACCTGGTTCTTGCCCCACCCCAAGCCTTCACCACCCTACTGTCTGTGTCCATAGGTAAGATCTTTGGATAATCTCTTCCCACACTCCCTCCTCCCTTCCCTTTCAGATTCGTCAGTCTGTTTCATAATTTCATGCCTCTGTTTCTGTTTAATTCACCAGTTTAGTTTGTTCATTAGATTTCTTGCTCGTTTATTTTGATTTTTAAATTTGATTGTTGTTAGATATGTATTTGTTGCCATTTTATTGTTCATATTTTTATCTCTTCTTTTTATTCAATAATACCCGTCAACATTTCATATAATACTGGTTTGGTGGTGATGTACTCCTTTAGCTTTTTTTTTTTTTTGAAACTCTATCTTCTAAATGAGAGCTTTGCTAGGTAATCTTGGTTGTAGGTCCTTATTATTCATCACTTTGAATATTTCTTGTTACTTCCTTCTGGCCTGCATAGTTTCTGTTGAGAAATCAACTGACAGTCTTATGGGTGCTCCCTTGTAGGTAACTAACTGCCTTTCTCTTGCTACTTTTAAGATTCTCTCTTTGTCTTTAGCCCTTGGCATTTTAATTATGATGTGGTCCTCTTTGGGTTCCTCTTGTTTGGGACTCTCTGTGCTTCCTGGACTTGTAAGTCAATTTCTTTCACCAGGGAGGGGAAGTTTTCTGTCATTATTTCTTCAAATAGGTTTTCAATTATCTTGCTATCTCTCTTCTTTTGGCACACCCATAATGCGAATGTTGGTATGCTTGAAGTTGTCTCAGAGGTTCCTTACAGTATCTTCATATTTTTGGATTCTTTTTTCTTTTTGTTCTTCTGGTTGGGTGTTTTTTCTTCCTCTTATTTCAAATTGTTGATTTGATTCTCAGAATCCTCTACTGTTGAATCCCTGTATATTATTCTTTATTTCAGTCAGTGTATGCTTAATTTCTGACTGGCCCTTTTCCATTTTTGGAGAGGTTTCTAGAAGATTCTTGAGTAACCTTATAACTGTGATTTTGAACTTTATATCCAGTAGTTTGCTTTCACTCATTTCTTTCATTTGTGACATGTCTCTTTGTCTCTGCATTTTGGCTGCTTCCCTGTATTTGTTTCTATGTATTGGATAGAGCTGTTATGTCTCCTTGAGTTTGTAGAGTGGCCTTGTGTAGTAGGTGTCTTATAGGGCCCAGTGGCTCAGCCTCCCCAGTCACCTGAGCTGGGAGCTCTAGGTGCACCCCTTTGTGGGCTGTGAGCACAGTCTTGTTGTAGTTGAGACTTGATTGCTGTTGGTGTCACTGGGAAGAATTGACCTCCAGGCCACTTGGCTGTGAGGACCAGCTGCGACTACAGTGGAAGAGCTGCTATGCAGGAGACACCCCTATGGAGCAAGACCTGCTTCAGTGGGGCTTTGGTGCTCACTGAGTCTGCCCCTCGAGTGTGTTGCTTATGAATGTGTAGAGTTATAATCTGGTATGGTCTGACACTGACCACTGGGTACACTGGCTCTTGGTTCTCCAGGGAGGTGCAAAGTCAGTTACTGCCTGGCGCCACCCAGCAGGAGCTACAGAGAGATATGCAGATTCCTCCTCTTTGTATCAGGTTTGGCAGTGCCCAGATGAGGCCCAGCTATGAAACAAGGCAGGCTGGTGCTGGTGCCAGGTCTTGGGCCTTTTATTGATAAGGGTGGGCGGTGCAGGAGGCAGCCAATCAATGATTCTCTCTCATCATTGATGTTTCTATCTCTCTCTCCCTTTCCCTTCCTCTCTGAAATCAATAAAAATATATTTTTTTTAAAAAAGGGAGAGAGTGAAAAATGCAATTCATGTGGAATTTTTCAGCCCACATAGCACAATCCAGACACTCATTACTGAAGAAGTAGGTGTGGACAGGGCACACTTTGCTTCTAGTAGCAGGTCAGCACTGGTTTTTGCCTGGGTATCACCTATCCCCGGTGCTGGCCACTGCCCAAGGGGCCTGTGGGAAGTCTAAGAGGCTAGAGGGAAAACAGGAATAACGAGGGAAAGGCCAGCACACACATGCGCAGACTAGCTGTGGTGTTTCCGGGCACGGGTGCTGGTCTTGTGTCTTAGGCACACAGACAGACACTAGGAATGGCTAATACTTGGATTGTGCATTGTACTCACCTATGTGCTTTTTGTTACTTCACAATTTATTTATTTATTTTTAAAATCTTTATTGTTGAGAATATTACAGATGTCCCTCTTTCTCCCC